TCCTTCATGTGCATTCTCATGACACAAGGGTTTGTTTAATTGACAGAAATTGGGTACAATTTGGTAATGAGGGTCAGAGGGAGTAAGCCTTCTGTCACCTGTTGGAGTAATGGCATGGCTGTCACTATTGAATGTGATTTCTTTTAGATAATCGGGACGAGTTCTATGACCCCATTTCCATAGATTTTAGATCGATCTATCCCTGTGGGGAGCCTCACTAGATTACTGTCAGCTTAGCTGGCTTAAGCGTCTGTCCCGCCTACTAAAAGCTGTAAGGGGGTAATTAACTATGGTGCGCGCTTGGCTGACTGCAATTTAGCGTGAACCCCCAGGGAGTTAGGTCGATCTAAATCTTAATCTCTGGGTCAATCTAAATCTCTGGGAATGCACCCTATGTGTACCCCCCTCCCCCCACACACAAACACTACTACTGACACACACACACGCACACACACACACACACACGTGACAATATGGAATCACAGTTCAATCACAAAAACATGCACATGCATGCGCACACACTACCTAGCCCGCCCCCACTGAAAAATAATTTCAGACAAAAAATGTTACATTTTCCATTTGTTTTTGGTGAAAGGCTAACACCTCTTCCGTAAGCCCTCCTATAAGAAGAGTGAACCTTCATTGTTCCCAGTGATTGTTGCTCATGTACATGTGTCTGGCTGTCGGGTGATATTCTCAGAGACCAAGATTAATGTTTGTTTTATATAATGCCTTTTTATTCCACAGAAAAATGAGACAAACTTGGTGCAGTGTATGATAAACAAAATGTTAAGTGGTATTTACTGAAATCAGTTTCAATTTGCTCAGAGCAAGATTTATGTGTCTAAAATACTATATCTTTTTTTTCCAGAATGAGACGACAGAAAATGCCTTTATCTTGGTTTGGACATTAATTAACATATGAAATTTGGTATAATAAACAGTTTTGTGAAATATCATAATTATACGAACAACTCCAAAAAGGCAGATGAATTAAGCATTTTTTTCTTGTGGGTTGGACCTCTTCCCAAAATAGCCAAATCACTATTTCCACGATACAGTAATACTGTATATTAAAATGTGCTGTAGTGTATGGACATCTGTGTTCAGAAAGTCTCAAAATCAGATCAGAAAGCTTTTTTCATCTCTTCTTGGTAATTCAGTACACCACATGAGGTGCTCTGTTGATCTGGTCTGTTTAGAAAACCACTTGATTTTAATTAGCAACAAGCATGTGTCTAAACTGATAAAGATAAACCCTCTTCTGCTCCTCTTACCTTTCCCATTGCATGTTATTTTTTTCACATATATTAGATCTTTTTCTGTCTCTCTGCTGCTGTCTGTTACACAGATCATGTTCTAACCTATAAATCACCCTGCTTCCCCTACCTAATACTTAATGCCATTTTCTGTAATTTCTTACTGTTTCTCTTATTTTTCATTCTAACCTCCCCCCCC